GTTGTAGCTTTAAAAGCCAAACAAAGAGATTTATATTTGATCCTGGAAGTGATAGGGTACCGTTGGAGTTTGAGTGAAGAAAGGGGAGGTAGTGACATCATCAGACTTACACTTTAGGAAGATTACTTTAGCAGCCAAATGGAGGACCAGTTGGAGTGGAGATAGCTTGAGGCAGAGAAACCAATTAGAAGTTTACTGCAGATTTGTATAGTCCTCAGTGAGATGGGAGCCTACACGTGAAAGGAAGCCAGATGGAGAGAAGTGAAAGTTTAGGAGAGATATTGTGAAGACTTGGCAATAGCCTGGATATATGGGGTATGTCCGAGGGAGGAGCTGAGGTTGGCATGAGGTTTGTTAAGCTCCTGTTATGTGCTAGGCATGGGGCTAAGTACTATCTATGTGTGTTCCTTGGTCATACGTGCTGCTTCTCCCATGCATATTCTCTCCCAATGCATGTGGCCTCTCTATACTGTATTCTTTCCATGTTTTCCTTGCCTAGGTTCCTATTCTTGACATAATATAGAAATCTGTTGTCCTCTATGTATGGAGGGTTTACACTTGCCATTTATTTAACAATGCTATTAATGCAATGATTTTAGTGTCTAAAGGCTAGTTTAATAAAAGGAAAATTAGTAAAAGCTCATAAACTAAGGCTTTGAGTGGATGCTGACCCAAAACATTATTTGAAACTGGGGTAAGCTTTCATGAGGGCCATGGCTGTGGGAGAGGCCTGGGCTATAAATTAGTTCAAGACTCAAGACTGTAAGGTTATACAAATCCTATGTATTGCCCAAATTAAAGAACAATTTGCAGCTCCACAGTCTCAGTGACAAAAGTTTGCCCCTCCAAGGCTATTAGTCACCATTCTCAGTTTGTGCCACTAAAGAGTTCTAGTTACCTCATATTACCTCATTTCAGATACATAACAGGTAACTGTCTTGGGTTGTTTTGGTCCCTTCAGATGCCTTTCTCACTAAATGGATCTTAAATAGCTGAGAATTGCATTTACATTTTCTAATTCTTTCTAATCTGAGCATCTCTTCCCCTGTCCTATATGTGAGTCCTCTCAAAAATCATTCTGGGGGCTCCATTAAGGGCAGTGAATATATTTCCCCTTTCATATTAGTAATCAAGTATCCTCCTCCCTCTATTCTTCCTCCACTTCCATCTCCTAGTTGTGATCTGAGCCTCAGTTTCCTCACCTGTAAGATGAGGGTGCTGGACTCTACGGCCTGTGTCAAGATACTATTAGGAGACCCTGTTTTCCAGAGCTAGGGCCCAAGCAAGCAAGCTGTGCCCTGTGCATGGCATAACAACAATCCTTTGCACTCATCCTCCGGATGATCTCAGCCACAGCAAAATTCCAGAATTTGTATTCCTTTGATCAGCACCAGGTGTTCTCTGAGCTCAGACAAACATGGAAAAGCTCAGACAAGTTCCAGTCATGAAGCCCTGCTACGAATCAAATTCCTCACATTGTTGCCATTACCCCTCATTGTCAGAGCTAAGCCTCACTTGGTAGTATTCATTGGTATAAATATTGAGATTGCCCAAACTAGAATGAGTCCCCCACTGGTGGGGAGTGGGCAGCAGCAGTACATGTGTCTAGTTTCCCTCACCATAGGAAACAAACTTCTGTCTCAGTCTCTGCACAGTTGTTCTTGCCTGCTCTGTCTGTTTGGCTCTGGCCTCCACAGGCCAAGAGTTTCGGTCCCAGTTGACATCTCTGAAGTCTAGATTTATGAATCCTATAAGCCTATGGACGTACAATACAATGAATCTTAAAAATCTTACACAGCCCAGAGGCTCATCTCATTTAAGCTTGTTGGTTGATTAGATTCAGTTCAGTCACTAGATGTCAGGCTAGAAGCTGGGAAATACAAAGATGAAGAGGGCACAATCACTGCCCTGATCACATTGATTATTTACAATTTGAAACCCATTCATATTTCTCAGTGTCATTTACATTTTAAACCATTTATCTCTAACTAGATAATAATTTTAGTTTACATTTGTACAACACAACTACAAAGCATTTTACCTCACCTCGTGTTCACACAACCATCCCAGAGAGGTAGGCAGAGCAGGTAGATATCATTACCTCCATTTTACAAAGCAGAAACCCAAACCTGTGAAGAATAAGGAATACTGACAAAGTTTCAGAGTTGATAAAGTGCTGGAGCAGAGAAGGATTCTAATCCTTTCTGACTCAAATCCAGTGCTGTCTCCCCTCTCTGCTATATAACGGTGATGAAAGCATGTTTTGTTCTTTTAAACAAAATTGGCATCAACAAGGAGATAGAAAACTTGGATCAAATGAGAAGAGGGAGACGAGAATCACAAGAAATCTCAAAGGGAGGGTTGTGTTAGCCTAGTGCCTAAATTGGAAAGCAAACCACAACTCTATAATCTCAGTGAAAAAATTTACTTGAAGGTAAACCTGCTAAAGGCAATTTGAAATGGGGGGTGGGGAGTGGGTTTGGAATCCACTCTCCATACTCACTTGTTAGGCCTCAGGACTGTTTTAATTACCTCCATTCCAAGGTTCAAATGCCCGGCCTTTTGGAGAAATAGGTAAATGACAGATAGATAGATAGATAGATAGATAGATAGATAGATAGATAGATAGATAGATAGATAGATAGATAGATAGATAGATAGACAGATAGATAGACAGACATAGAGATAGAGATAAAGATATATAAAACTTCATTTATTTAGCTCACCTAGAAGTAAGGGTAAGCCCCTAAGACCACCAACTCTTGCTAACCAAATTCAAAGGTGACATTTGCAAATCAGAACTCAAATTGTGATCTATATGTGGTCTCATAATCTGTGTAATTGCCCTAGTAAAATAAGAGGTTTGGACTAGGACTAGAACCCTCTAAAGTCCCTACCAGTTCTAACTAAATCTATGATCCTTCCTTATGGATAGGTAAACTCAAAAAACCACATTAATTATGTGCATGAAGCAATGTTTTAAAAAAAGAGGTTTTTTTCTCTTGTAACTAAGCAAGACAAATTGACATGTATGACAGTATAACCCTCATACCACTCTTATGATTCACTATCAGTTCATTAAATAAAGGGAAATATAAGTGGGATAGTATATACATACACACACACACACACATATATATATGTATGTATATATATAGATATATCTATATATCTATATATACATATATATAGATATATAGATATATAGATATATCTATATATCCTTGATGTTGGGAGGAATATGTGTTCAAGTTCTGACTCAAGAAGACAGGTATAGGTGATGTCAGGTATTTAGGTCTGGCCTTGTTGCTAGGAAGAATTCTTAGCTTAGTACAGTACCCTGCCATACAATAGGTTCCTAATAAATACTTCTTGGCTAACTGTTCAAATCTTGCCTCAGACTATTCCCTTCATATGTATATAGACTATATGTGTGTGTATGCGTGTTTGTATATTTGTATGTATGTATGTATGTATGTATTGGCTAAGGCCTGGATCTGAGTTCTGATGTTTTACAGTGTTTACATTTAAGTGATTGTGGTCGTTTGAAAATACCATTCTCTTGGTTCTATTTATCACTCTTCATCAGCTCCTGCACATCTTCCCAAGATTTTCTGAATTCTCCTTACTAATTTTTTATAGAGAAGTAATATTCCATTATGTTTATGTACTGCAATTCTCATTCATTCCACAATTGATGGACATTCTATGTTTCTAGTTTCTTGATACTAAAAAACAGCATTATTATCAATATTTTTATATACCAAGACCTTCCCTCTCTTTGACTACTGGGGGCAAGTGCCTTGTAGCATTATCCATGGTTCAAAGGATATGAATAAACCCACTCTTCTAACATTGTTTCAAATTATTTGCCACAAGGTTGGACCAATTCATACCCACCAACATTAGTGTGCCTGTATTTCCACATTCAACATTGATTGTTTCCTTCATTTTATCAGTCTGTGCTGATTTACTGGGTGCCAGGTAAAACCTCAGAGTACTTTTAATTTGCTTTTTAAAATTATTATTAGTGATTTGGAAAGTTTTCTCATAAGGCGGTGATCACTTTCATTTGTTCTCTTAGAAATTGTCCGTCTATCCTTTGACCAAGAAGTTAGTTTTAAAAGGAATTTCCTTCAATACATTAGAATCTGCAGAACTCACCCATTCTCCTTTGTAGAGGATTTATCTATTAAGTATCTGGGCCTTTACTGCTGGAAACTGACAAAAAGAGAACTGCAGAGGAAAAGATGAGCTGAGAGAATTAAAAGGGCCAGAAAGTTGGGACAACAGATGGGACATTCAGAAGAATGGCACTATAATCATACAAGTTTTTTTTTTCCTTCCTTCTTTTTTCCCTCCTTCCATCATCCTTCTACCTTTCTACCATCAATCCATCCTTCCTCTTTTTCTTAGCAGTGCCTAGCACATAGTAAGCACTTAATAAATAACTTGTTTCCTTCTTGAGCACAGTGCTTATAGCACTTAGTGTTTAATAGAATGCTTGTGGCTTTGCTTGCTTCCCTGTCTTCCTTAGCACAGTGCCTAGCACATAAGTAAGCAATTAATAAATGTTTGTTGCTTTGCTGCCTGACTTTTCTTTCTTATTTCCTTTCTTGTCACAGTATTTTGCACATAGTAAGTACTTAATAAATGTTTGCTGCCTGCCTCCTTGAAGTTGTGCTATTTCTAGGAAAAGGAAAACAGAAGATGGGAAAACAATAAAAAACTGAGTGGAAGAAGAGTAACTAGACACAGCACGATCGACCTTGCAAAGCTGAGATATAGAAACTTATTCTCTTCTCGCCGACATTTTCTTGGTTTCAGTAATCAGAAAACAAAATACACAAACGCAAGGCCCCAGCGAGATTTGAACTCGCGACCCCTGGTTTACAAGACCAGTGCTCTAACCCCTGAGCTATGGAGCCAGCCATACTTTCAAGTTACAGAAGCACTCCTATGTTGTTACGGGCCTATGTGCCGCCGCACTGCAGCAAGGGTTCGGGAGGGTTTAATACCGTGCGCGCGCCCGCCGCAGCGGAAGCAGCCCTCGGGCCACAGAGACGAAAGAAGACCCGAGGCCAATGAGCACCGTGGGCGGAGGAGCCGCAGCGCCCGCGTGTGGGGCGCGGGAAGGGCCACAAGTCTGGAACCCAGGAGGGCAGAAGAAACTAGGAGGAAAAGTACGGCCAGTGCGCAGAATAGGGCAGAGCCCTAGCCTGCCAGTGGAGAAGCGTGGGGTCCAGTGCCTGCAAGGTCAGTCACTCACTGCGCAGCTCTGTGACCTTGAGCAAGTCACCCCTGGGCCTCAGGCAAAAAAAAAGGTGGGGGGGGATCTTTTTCCAGCTCTGAGATTCTCTGAAGGCAGAGGGGCTAGAGGGCTGACTCTGGGGAGTGTCTGGGGTGGGTGCTGTGGGGATTGAGGTGGGGGAAGGGTTGAGGAGGAGGGGGCTGCAGGGACAAATGGAGGGTCCTGCTACCTGCCAAAATCAGCCACTGAAATGGGCTGGTCCTCAGAGTAGGCTGCTAATCTGCAAGGCTGCCCGGCTGGGAGAAAGAGAGAGAGGTAGTTGAATAAGACCACCTGTTTTGGGGAAATGATTCTGACAGTGGTGGGTAGAATTGATTGGAAAGATGAGATCGGTGAGGTGGAGAGAACAGATTCCTGTCAGTAGTCCAGGCTCAAGGTGATGGGATGAGGGCCTGCAATAAGATGGTATAGAGTGCAGGGAAGAGTTGGATGTAAAACACTTTACCAAAGGTGGAGCAATATTTTAATTCCTAGTTTGCAAGATGAGACCAGAAGGAATAGGGCTGCTGGGCCAACTTTGCCCGTTGCGTGCCCCAAGACAGCCGCTGCTGCCAAGTTCATCATCCACAACGTACCGGACTCCTTTGTGCTGCGTAAGCACATTACTGCGTTACTGTAGCTGCCCCATAACATGGTGGTGAGGAGCCAATCCCATATTGCTAGAAGATTGCTAGCTCAAATAGGCCCTGCTTCAGGTCTGCAGAAGCTGCCTCCCAGCCCTTACCTGTCTATCAAGACAACTGAGTGCCTCTGAGGAAAATAACAGGCTTGGCTCTCCACTCCCCACAAAAAGAGAGAGAAGAGAATCATTAGGGCCTAATGGCTGTTTATGACAGAGAAAAGAGTCTGAATTTCGGATGGTTCGGTTCTGCTCCCAGAAAGAATAGGGAGACTGCTGGCAAAGATGGAGAACTCCAAATGGGAGTGTGATTTGGGGACGCAAGAGAAAAAAATCTGCCATAGACAACTTTATTATTTAAATAGTTCTGAGCACCCCTGCTTAGAAAGAGTAAAATCTGAAGGGACAGAGGCGTCCCACCTTTGGAAATCTCTCTACCCAAGTAAGTTTTTTTATTACAATGTACAGGGTCAAGTCCACAAGCGTTTATCAAACACTTACTACCTGCTAAGAGCTGGAGATACAAGAAAGGCAAAAGGTAATCCCCTGATTTTAAGCATCTCAGTGGGACTGGGCAGACAACACGCAAACAGCTAAGTACAAACAATATATCTGCAGGATAAACTGGAGATGACCAGCTGAAGGAAGACATTAGAATTTCAGAGGTGGAGAGACCAGATTATTGGCAATAATTCAGAGATCTGAAAACGCTTCTTTATTTATTGATTTTTTTAACTGGGTCTTCCAATCTCACCCAGGTTGGAAGTGCAGGGTCTACTCAGGGGCAAGCCCCAGTCTGATCAACACCAGAGACTTGACCTGCTCTATTTCAGATCTGAGCTGGTACACCCTTCCCTAGGCAACCTGGTTACCTTCCACTGCTACAAAGTCACCATATTAATGTCTAACTTAGTGTGGACACCCTGTTGGATTAGCCCACTGAAGCTCAGAACTCTCTAGTTCAAGAGATCTTCCAACCTCAGCCTCCCTTGTAGCTAGGATTACACCTGAGAAAGGCTTCTTACAGAAGGTGGAATTTTAGCTGAGATTTGAAGAAAACAAGGAAGAAGAGATGACAATAAAGAGAATTATAAACATTAGGACAACCAGTGAAAATTCACAGGCAAAGAGTGTCTTGTTTCAGGCATAGCAATGATCAAATGAGAGTTTTTTCAGGATGAGGCAGACATGGAATTGTTCATAGGTAGTTAAGGAAGCATCCAGTAAGTAAGGGAGAGACTGAAGATGCAGGAGAGAGTAGAGATGACAGAAAGGGCAGTCTGCTGTAGCAGATGAGATGGAAAGGGATCATTTGTGCATGTAGAGGGGTTTTCCTTGACAAGGACTAGGGCCACCTCTTCAAAACATAGACAAAATTCCATAATCAAGATGAAATAGGAGTACTAAACTTAGGTAACAGTGTGATTCATGTAACAGAACAAGAGTCACAATTTTTGGTATATGAAAAAGAATAACTTTCTTAAAATTTTCTTAAACCATTCAGTCCCTCTTTAATTACTTATTCTAAGGAGTCTCCTATTTTTTTTTCCTGCTCACAGATGAACTCAAGATATTTGTCTCTAAATGGAATTAATCAAAGACTACTTCCTTTTTGTCTTATACGCTAATAGATTTCTGGGAGGAGTGCTTGCTGAACTGAACTGAACTTCAAAAACTGGTGAGGCCTTTAATAAGAATGAGGTAAATAGATTTCAATGCATAACATTGTTTCAGAATTGAAAATTAAAGAAAGACTAATAAAATTTCTTATTCTTGTTTTTTTTTAAAGGGGGAACTAGGCTGACAGGGGTCCTTTAATGAGCTAGCACAAGGAAAAAATGAGGAGTTTCCTTTTAGAAATATTTAGTAGGCCCTTGGTGGAACACAGAAGTAGAACTCTCCAACAAATAGCTGGAAATATGGGACTGAAGTTTAGAACAGATGTCAGATCTGGAGATGAAGACAAGTGACACAAGAAATCCCATTCTTGAATTTTTTCCTCCAGCTCTATTTCAGAATGGCATTTTTTATAAGAAATCTAACTGATTAAGAATTGGAAATTGAGGCAGCTAGGTGGTGCAGTGGATGGAGCACCTGCCCTGGAGTCAGGAGAACCTGAGTTGAAATCAGGCCTCAGACACTTGATACTTAGCTAGCTGTGTGACCCTGGGCAAGTCACTTAACCCCATTGCCTAGCCAAAAAAAAAAAAGAATTGGAAATTGAGTGAATGCCCATCAATTGGGGAATAGCTGAACAAGCTGTGGTATATGAATACAATGGAATACTATGGATTTCAGCAAAACCCGGAAAGACTTACATGAACTAATGCTCAGTGAAGTGAACAGAACCAGAACATTGTACCCAGTAACAGCAACTTTGTTCAATGATCAGTTTTGATAGACTTAGCTGTCCTCAGCAATACAATGATCCAAGACAATTCCAAAAGAATCATGATGGAAAATGCTATCCATATCCAGAGAAAGAACCATGGAGTCTGAATGCAGATTGAAGCATACTATTTTCATTTTTTTTTTTGCTTTTTTGTTTTTTGTGGTTTTTCCCTTTTGTTCTTTCTTCTTTCACAATATGACTAATGTGGAAATAGGTTTAACATGATTGCACATGTATAATCTATATCAGATTGCTTGCTGTCTTGGGGAGGGAGAAGGACAGGGAAGAATGGAGAGAAATTTGGAACTCAAAATCTTATAAAAAATGAATGTTGAAAACTATCTTTAGATGTGATGAAAAAAACTAAAATACTATTCACAAAAAAATAAATAAATCTAATTGATTTATTGGATTTCTGTTTAACTTTTTAAAGTATGTATCACCCCTCTGGGTTGCTCCCCTAACTTGCACTTACATTCTCACTGACAGGTTGGCTTCCTCTTTAGAGGGTGGCTTCTCCCTCAAGTTCTAGGGTCTGCCCACCAGTGTGCTTCCCATAAAGACTCCTGCTAAGGGCTTCCTACCAAGATGGCTGTAAACCTCCCAGCTTCCATATACCTACTCCAACAAAACTCGAAAAAGTTCAGACCAGACCTAAATAATCATTAAGAAATACAGTGAGAAACTATAGAAAGTGACTTCTATCCCAGAACTGCACAAGAGTCAGCCAGAAGCCCACAAGCAATAGAAAAAAGAGGCCATCCTAGGAAGCCAGCACCAACATAGAGTAGCATTCCAACACAACTAGAGAGGGGACACTTGTAGTCTGCAAGATTCTGTGTCCAGGGGGAAGCTAGATGGTGCAGTGGATAAAGCACCAGCCCTGGATTTAGGAAGGCCTGAGTTCAAATCTAAACTTACTTAGCTGTGTGACCCTGGGCAAGTCACTTCACCCCATTGCCTCAAAAAAAAAAAATAATAAAATAAATTTAAGAAAAAAAGATTCTGTGTCCAGAAGCAATAAAAGTGGTAGAGCTCCTCTGAAAAATGGCCCAGGGTGGTCCCCAATGCAGGGGCCTGTGAAGCCCAGAAGAGCACAAGCAGCAACCAACTTGGTGTTGAGAGAGGATATTATAGGAAAGGGAATAGTCACAGGTGGAAAAAAAAAAACACTTGCTGATGAAGAATGTGGAATTAAAAAGAAGCAAAAAACTAGAATCTAAGGGGGTATTTTACATTGCCTCTTAAGACAACTGGGGATTGGCTGAACAAATTGTGGCATATTAATATAACAGAATATTGTTATGTCTTTACAAATGACTAAAAATGATTTCCGGGAATCTTGCAGTAGTCAGAACTAGGAGAACAATTTATACAAAGAAAGCAATATTGTAAAGAAAAACAACTTGGGAAGACTTAAGAACTCCGATCAAAACAATGACCATCCATGCCATAAGAGAACGAATGGTGAAGCACGTTACCCACCTCCTGACACAGAAATGATGATCACAAGGTACAGAGACATAACAGACACTGTGGGGCATGGTCATTATGTGGATCCATTTTGTTTGGTTCTGTTTATTTGATACAAGGACTTCTTTTTATTCTTGGTTTTTAATTTGGAGGGGCAGGGTTAAGGGAGAGGCATTAGCAGTTGTGATGAGAGAAAGAAAAAAGAGAGCCATTTTAGCATTTTTTAAGTGAACAAAGAGCAAGGAAACCCAGAAGGAAGCATGGAAAGGCAGGTCAGTTTTGAAAGTAACATGTAGAATTTATTAAATACTTTTTTTAAAAAAAGCAAATGGTATAAAATAGAGATGCCTAGTTTCATATAGAGCCCTCTTTTTGTGTTCTACTGTATGTGTGGAAATGCTCTTTTTTACAAGAAAGTGTCTTAAGTTCAGGATAAAAATTATTTTAAAATGAAGACAGCAGTCAATGCAATTTGCTCTCAGCAAAGGCATTTATTAAGATGGTACAAGAACAATTGGTGTAAAACATTCCTCACATAAAACTGGGGAGAACTCCCCCACAAATACACACAACATCGGTGAGGAAAATGGGCAAAGACCTAAGGTACAATGATAGTGAGGCACCAGTGTAGGACGTAGCAATGGCAAAAGGCACCCTCCCACCCCCCCCGAGTCTTCTTGTTTTAGGCCTACTAGCCTTTTCTCTCCTTATGCAAACCTTTCAAAGTTGCTCCTTGAGTACAGAGTCTCTGCTGGGCTGGCTGCTCAATTGGACTCTCGGAGTATCCTTTTCTTGAGTCTGGCTATCTGAATGTCTTGAGTCTTTACCTGAATCTATATGGAATGTGGGTCTCTGCTCCTGGCTGGATATACTATTTCTCTACTGATAAACTAGTTCTGATTCAACATAACATGTTGGATAGAGAGTAGGGAATACTCCCCCTCTTGCTGCTGTTTAGATGCAGAGATCTCAGTCACAACTGCCTCCAGCTCTCCAATTCTGAAATTCATTCAAGGTACATTGGTGCACGGATAATTTGTCTCTGTCAATCCTTATTCATTTCTTGACTCAATCATTAAGATTTCATATCTTATAAAGGGACTGAGTTATAAAAGCCTGTTTACTTTCAGTTTACTCCTCATTATCACCATGTAAATTATATGCTGGGCCTTCTAGCTCTAGAATCAGCTGAGGTAATGAGTCCCTTACACATGTTTTATCTCTTGCTGTGGATAGAGGGTCAACTTTGGAGACAGAAAAACCTGAGTACAAGTCTTGTAACTACTGGTCATGACCAGGAGCAGGTCACAATTTTTGAAGTAAATTTCATTCAACAGCACTTATAAAGCACTTCACTACTATGTCAGACACTGTGACAAAAAATATACACAGTGCAGAACATGGCATTTAATCATTTTTCTTCCATTTGTTGATCAGTTGTGTTGAATTTTTCTTTCTCTTTTCTTTAAAAAAAAATCTGTCATAAATGATGGCTCTCTGGGAGGAGATGGATACAGGGAAATCTTTGTAATGCAAAAATAAAAAATCAGTAAAAATCAACTTTTTTAAAAATTACTGATATATATTGTTTTGACATAATACGTTCCTCTACCCATCTTATCATCCCTTATAACAGACTTTAAAAAATAACAGTTCAGCTAAATCAACTAACACATCAATATTTCACATCCATCGTCCCCCATTTCTTCAAAGAAGGGAGGGAGGTTCATCTCTGAGGCTAAGCTGAGGCTCTCTAGCCACAGCATTCAAGTGTTGTTTCCACTAGATATTCCCAAAGTATAAATTTATGTCACTTTTCTGCTCAAGAAGTTCCATTTCCTCCCTATTCAATTCAATTCAAAAGCATTTATTAATCAACTACCCTGTACTAGACTCTGCTAGATAACAAGCCTACAAATGCAAAACCAAAAACCAACCCTACCTTTCTGCCCTCAAGGAGCTTATAGTAAGGGGAGAGGAGGGAAGGAGAAAGAAGGCAGTCCCAAAGCATACATAGAAAATTAAAAAGAAATCTATACAGAGTAATTTTGAAGGGCAGAACACTAGCAAGTGGGAAGGGGTGGGGTATAACACAGGTTTTCTGTAGGAAATGGCACATCTCTAGGATAAAACACCAATTTCTGTTTTGCATTTAAAGTCCTTTACAATGTCAGCTAGGTGGTGCAGTGGATAGAGCACCTGCCCTGGAGTCAGGAGGACCTGAGTTCAAATACGACCTCAGACACATAACACTCACTAGCTGTGTGACTCAGGCAAGTCACTTAACCTCAATCGCCCTCATCAAAAAAAAAAAAAGTCCTTTGCAACCTTGCTATAGCCTAGCTGTCCAGGCTCATTACACATTACTCGCTTTCATACCCACCTTGTTCCTTCCAAAAAGGCCTACTTGCTACTCTCTGTATAGGACCCTCCATTATCTCACTTCTGGGGCCTTTGTACAAGTTGTCCCCCATACTTGAAATGCTATACTTCTCTCCCTTTCCCCCATAGACTGTAGCTCCTGGAGGACAGGAAGGTGGTTTTGTTTTTGGTTTTTTAATGCCTACCCCTCTTCAAGGCTAGTAATACCCAAGAAACCTTCCTTCCTTCTCTGGTTAGGAGGCGACATTCTAGCTACATGCTGCCTAGAAAATCCTCCCTCCTCTAATCAGGAATGATGTTGTCCATAGACACGCTTTTCTGTGGCCAAGTGTATGGCTTATGTGTAGGCTTATGTATTTGTACAGAATACTCAACCTGGTAGCATGACTGTTGTCATCTCTTGGTCTGGGACATATACTCTCCAGTCTCAGACTTATACTCAGAATCGGAAAAAAAAAGGAACTCTTTCTTTCCAGGCCAACTGGGATAAACACATCGGGCTTCTGCCCTAAGGAAGCCTTTAACTGCCAGAAGAAGGTGGGGAGGAGAGGAAAGAATGAGAAATTCCTCCTCTCTCGTATCTGGCAGCATTCCAGAAGTTGAAAGGGGAAAGGTGAAAAAAGCCTAAAAGGTCCTAAGCAGGTCTATATACTCCCTTTTTATATGTGGCCAGCACAAAATGGTGACTTTTTTGACTGAATTCCATCCTCCTAAACACCCACATCAACCAATTCATCTTTAAATGTCTTCATATGCTTCTCTGTATTCACCATGTTCATTGTATCTTACAGCACAGTAATATTCCATTACATTCAGGTATCACAAATTGTTTAGCCATTCCACAACAGATGGGCATCTACTTTTGTTTCCAGTTCTTTGCGACCAAAAGAGCAGCTTTTAAATATTTTAGCATATGTGGAATCTTTCTTCTTCTCAATGACCTCTCTGGAGTATATGCCTAGCAGTGGAATTTCTGGACCAAAGGGTATAGCCATTTCTAGAATGGGTTATACCAATCCACAGCTCTACCAATAATACATTAATGTTCATCTTTTCACTTCGCCAACATCAATTATTTCCATCATTTATAATCTTTGCTATTTTCTGAGTGTTTTAATTTGCATTTCTCCTATTAGTATTTTAGAGCATCCTTCCATATGGTTGTTAATAGTTTGCAATTCTTAATTAAAAAATAGTTTTGGGTCTTTATTTCTGTTAGTTCATAGTTCTGTTAGTCCATATATCTTAAACAAGAAACCGTTGTCAAGAGATATTTGAGACAAAGATTACTTCTCTTATCCTAGTTGGTGTAAAAGTTTTTCAATTTCATGTAATCAAAATTTTATCCCTCGGTTGCTTAATAATTTATTCCTTACCCAAAACTGAAAAGTATATGATCTACTTCTCTTTTTTTTATGGTACGATCTTTAATATTCAGATCACAGATCCACTTTGAATTTATTATAGAAAGTGATATGTTCATTTAAACCTAATTTCTATGAAACTATTTGCCATTTTTCCTAGGTGTTCATATCAAATAAGGGCTTTCCTAAGTAATTTCTGTTTTTAGGTTTATTGAACATTAGGTTTAATATTTTTGGCTCTTCCTTGTTTAATATGTTCTGCTGACTTTTCTGTTTTTTAAATTAGTTTTGATGGTTTTGATGACTGTTGCTCTGTGCTACGTTTAAAGGCCTGACAAAGCTGTTTTACATTCATTCCTACCTTTTTTCATCATTTCTCTTGATGATGTGGATATTTTGTTCTTCCAAATGGATTGTTATATAATCTAGCCCTGAAAAATATCTCAATTGGTACTTTGGCATAACACTAAATCTGTATATTAACTTTGGTTCTGTTTGAATTTTTATACTGGCCTAGCTCAGCCATGTGTACTGTGTATTCTTCCAGTATTTAAGCGGCTCTTTATTCCCGTAAGGAGTATTTTGTAATTGAATCTATGCAGATATCGAGGATATTTTGGTAGATTTCACTCCCAGTTTTTAATTTTTTTTAAGAATATCAATTTAGCAGCTGCATTAAGGTTGGATTCGGTTTGCAATCATGATTGTAATACCCTGAGAAAAATGATAAGGGCATAAATAACTCTAAAATCTTACCTTTCACCTTTCAGCCACAACCTTAATCTAGTCATTTCTCACCTAATATACTGGTATTTCCTTAACCAGACTACCCCTCCTTGTTTCATCCTCTCTTTCCAGTTGACCTCCATTATTACCAAGTTTTCTTCCCTTATTACTGTTCTGACAATACCATCCCCCTCCTTGGGTGTTTACCAAAATCGGGTCTTAAAACTTTCACGAGGCTCTCTACAAATTACTTGACTTTCTTAATCTCTTAGGACCTCTCCTCCTCTTAGATAAATTGAGTCAACATTCCTTTTATTAAACATGCTCTGGGCTCTTTGCTAGGTTATATCTGTGGCCTGAAATACCCTATCACCAAAGAAGGACAAAACATTTCACCACTTTTATTCAGGTTTCCTAACACTTTATCTCCTCCAGATTACCTCCCTAATTAGAATCATATCAATACAGATTTAGAGCAGTAAAGGAGATGGAGGTTGGAGATCATCTAGGCTAGGGCAAACCCCTCATTCTACAGATAAATGAGGCCCAGAGAGTGAAATTATCTTCCCCAGGTCACACAGGTGACTCAGTAAAACTCCAAGAGTATCCCGATACGTCTGGGATGAAACACCATCTCCTATTTGGCATTTAAAACCCTCCAAAATCTGACTCCAACCTACCTTTCCAGTCTTATTACATTCTTCCCCTTCACACACAGAGTCTCCCATCCTTTGCATAGGCCGTCTCCCTGTGCCTAGAATGCCCTCCCTCATGACAGCAGCCATTTCTTTCAACAGCTCAGCTCTATGTGAAGCGTTGCCTGATCTCCCTAGGTGCTTATGCCTGTTCCCACAAAATTGCCTTCCATTTATTTGGTATCATCTTACTTATGTAATGTACTTGTTGCCTCCCTCAATAGAATAAAGGCTCATTGGAGATTTTTAATTTTATATTTGCATTCCCAATGCCTACCAGTGATTGTTGATTCATAGCAAGTGAAAGAGCTAGGATCTAGACTGGGGTCCTCTCTAGTGATCTCTCTACTACATTCAAAGTAGTCAATTCTTAGCGATCCAATGTTGCAGTTAAGTAGCCTGCACCTGGACACAAGACACCGGAGTTGAAATCCTGCCTCACACAACTCATTTAACCTCATTCCTCAATTTCCTCATCTATAAAATAGAGCTAATAGCCATTACCTCCCAGGGTTGCTGAGATCAAATGAGATAATATTTATTTGTATAGCACTTTGCTAACCTTTAAGTGACATAGAAATTCTGGTTATTATACATGTGGAAAGTCACTTTTCAGTAAACGTCTGTATGAGCATCTACCTGCAAGATACTGTGTTGGGCGCTGTGGACTCCTCACCACTCTGTATGCAAATCAGTTCCCAGAAACTGAAAGACTGAAACACATGGATCCCTAAAGAGAAAGAGGAGCTTTTGGACAGATGTCTATGTCCAGAAAGAAGGGAGGGGGAAAATGCCTTTTAAAAAAGGAGGGCAGAGAAAAATGAAAGAACAAAATGGATGGGAGAAGTTAGGGTGACTACTATCAGCTCAAAGGCAGGACTGCTGGATTCTGGGAGAGGATGAAGACTGGGAGTTTGCAAGTCAGTGTGAGTAGCTGGGCTTACCTCAAGCCTGGTTTCTCAGAGCTCTGCCCTACTGCTGCCTTCACAGGTGGTGTTGCTCTGCCCCAGGAAATGTGACAGACCCTCCTATTCCCATGACTACCCAACTCACCTCTGCCACTTAATAGGATCCATCATTTGAGCATGGAGAGTGAGGGAAGGAACCTCAAGTCCTTCTGAGAATGGGAGAGCAGAGTGAGCCACTCACAGAATCAGACAGAAGCATGATGACATAAGAAGTAACTGTTTTGCAATATAGCCTTCCTCTGGGCCAAGGGTTCTTAACTTTTTTGTGTCATGGGCCCCTCTTGACAGTCTGGGGATACCTATGGAAAGACCCCTTCTCAGAATAATGTTGGGAATCAAAAAGATAAAATACATAAGGTGACAAAGGAAACCATTATATTGAAATACAGTTAACAAAAAAAAAATTTTTAACACAGTTCACATATCCTAAGTTGAGAATTCCTGCTCTAGAGCCTACAGTCTATGCCAAACTTTTCCTTTCTCCCTACCCAGAGCAGCTACTAGTCAAATAAGTATTCACTCCTGCTACAGAGACACACATTCACTGAATGGTATCGTACTCACATGCAAACATATCTATACGCACAATCAAGGACTCAGACGCCCCAACAGAACATTCAAAAACCCTCCTCCATTAACACACAGCCCCAAAGGGACAAGCTCACATTAGTACTCACAGCACAAGTGCACCCACATTCATGTAATGGGAGACTACAATAAATGTGCACTTCCTTCACACACCCAAATACACTAGTATCCAGATCCACTAAGTAATATACACAAATAGACTCACATCACCACTCAGAATAGAGAAATGATCCATAGATACAGCCACACGTGGACTCACAGACACCCCTGAATGACACAGTCCCCTTCCCACCCACCTCACCCACCAAGAAACCAAGTAACGATTTGAACTCATAGTCTGTATTTTCTGACTCTCCAAAGAAAAGCTGGTCAGGGAAAGCCACTCTTCCTCCCTTCTCATTCTGCTCCCCTCCCTCTGCATCACGGTCGCCAAGAGCAGGAAGTATCACCAATTGGGGAAACTGAGGCACCATCCTGGTAAAGAGGCCATGGAAATCATGAGGGGGAACCTAGAACCCAGTGATTCAACATCTAGACAGTACATATATGCGTGTGTGACATACTCTCTAGGTGTGCTTCTTGGAAAGGTGTTGGAAGTGTATTTACATCATTTGGTAAAACAGGGGGACTAGATATTTGTGGCAGGAAGTACCTGAATATTGGTTGTTATGAGTGCATTGATGCCTGTAGGTTTGTCCACTAATGTGACTTGTTATGAAGTTATAAGTGTGGATTTGCCTGTGTATTTAGGGGTAAGGTCCTCTCCTTATAGTCAGTGTTATATGGTTGGGGGTGGAGGAGGGGAGGGGAGGTTATAGGGCAGTGTGAGTGTGAATGCCCAAAAGTGTGTTGGCATTTATTCCCTTGAATGGCTGCCTGGTCACACACATGGGCAAGGGTCTAATTCTAGTCTGGGCAGACTGACATCTCGGAAACGGAACTCTTTCCTGATTGCAGACATCAGCTGTAGCCAGGAGAATTGATGAGTCCAGAGACAAGCAGCCAAGTCCACTCAGCTTTGAGTCCACTTTTGATCCTCTTGGCTACAGCCTGACAAGAGTGCAAAGCAGAGAAAATAAAATGTCCTGCCCCAACCCCAGAGCTGCCTTCCTCCTCAGCTGGGATAGCTCAGGGCTGAGATTCAAGTAAGCACGAACCCACAGAGAGCTGAGGAAACTGCGGAATTTTGCTAGTCCCCCTCCCACTTCCTACCACCTCTCCCCCCAACACCTTCTAAAGTCCTGGGGAAAATGAAGATGCAGAAGAAAGCTGAGGCAAAAGCCAGTATCAACAGCCACAGAAAGGAGACACAGAGCAGTTTTAAGATCTAGAGCTGAAATGAGACCAGGAACAAGGAGCCAGGCAGATATGGACAGCCTAAACTGGCTACTTGACCACAGCTGTTGCCACCTGCCAAAAACACATCAGAGGGAGGGTTGGCCAAAGTCCCTAGAATCCACAGGCCTCAAGGTTAAATCCACAGATAAGTTTTGGTGAGAAGGTAGCCCAGAACGAGGAGGAGAAAGGGTGACAATCTGTGTGAGATAATCTGGCTGCTTTCCTTGTAATAAGCCCCAGCAAGAGGCTGGAGATGGGATAAAGCCAGCACATGGCAAACAAGAAGCCAGGATTTGCGAGAGGCCTATACATACAACATTAACTTGTTGCTTGCATCTCATCTCTCAGAGAAAACAAAGTTAGGTCTGGCCAGGTGGAAAGCCAGGGTTGGGGGGAAAGACCTGTGCAGGATCAACTTCCTGCAGTTCCCAGTACCCCAGAGGCCTGAATCAGCCCCTCCTCTTAGCAGCCCATCATCTCTGGCCCCATCTCATGGCCAGATCCGCAAGTATGTCCCAGTAGAGCAGACAGAGAAGAGGGGAAAGACTCGCTCTCGAAAGGCCACTCGGAAGGTGTAGATGTGCCGCATGTCCTCGGCGGCGTAGAAAGACACTGCACCAGCCTCTAAATCCAGAGCGACCCGGACCCGGGCCAGCCGCCCCCCGGGGCTCAGTGAGGTGCGCTCAGGAGATGTCACAGCCCAGTACTGACCACCATTGAGCTGAAGGGCCCAGACGCCCTCTTCGGGAGTGAAGGGGGTGAGGCCCTTACGCCGGACACTTTCCCGGGCCACTCCAAAGGCCCAGCCATCAGCCGAGCCCACCTCCACCTCCCAGTGGTGACGGCCAGAAGAAAATCCACGAGAGGCCAACACTCGAGTATTCGTGTCAAAGCGCCGGGGATTAGGAGGCAGATCTTGGGGTCGTGGACCCAGGCGGACACTCTTGAGATCCAGGGAGAGGATGAGGCGAGGGTTGGCTGTGTCAGGATCCAATGTCAATTCCACTTTGGGGGAGGAGGAAAAGAGGAAAAGACAAAGGCAGAGAAAGGCATCACTGGGTATAGCTCCCTGACTCTAGGTGGGATATCCCCCCTCCTCTTAGACAAGCTGTATCTCTCTCTTCTCTTGCTAAACCTGACTCAAAAAAAAAAATCCCTTTTCCATTAGGAAGCCTTCCAGGATTCCTACATCCCACCAGACCCTGATCATTCTTTTTATCCTGCGTACATTCAGATCTCACTCTGATCATTTGCACTGTGTTCTACGTTAAAAAAAAAAAGTCAGTGTTAAGTGTATGCCCTGTATCCCCCATCATACCAGGAGCTCTCCAAGGGCAGGGACCATGTTTCTTCCTTTCTTCTGTCTCTCCCCCCCAATGTGCCTGGTACAGGGATCTATCTGTACAGGGCGGGCGGGAATGGGGGGGAAAGAGGCACAGCAGGGTCAGTACATGTTGTAGACTGACAGACCTCCCCAAAGTAAAGTATCCAGAGACCCAGGCCATAGTGTTGCTCCCTCCCCCTGGGAGAAGTGCCAATGGTACAGGTTACCCCACAGGCCACTGAGCACATGCCCCATTGCCCTCTGGGGTAGTCCCACCTGCATAATGGAAAAGGCAGAGAAAAGAAGAGACACATCTATAGGAAAAGACCCACACAACCCACAAAAAAAAAAGACAAAAGTAATAGAATGTCAGAGCTGGAAAGGATCTTAGGTCCAGTCTCATTTTACAGAGAAGACGGAGGCCCCAGGAAAGGGGAAGTGACTTGCCCATGGTCACTCAGCTAATTAGAGGCAGAGCCAGGATGACATACCAGGTCTCCTAACTCGTGGTCTGGGGCTCTCTGCCCTATAGCACACACTGCCTCCCTCTAGGGTAGCTGGTGATGCCAGAGAGAGAGAAGACAGAGACTGGGAGATAGATTTACAGAGATGGGGAGAATTGCTTTGTTTTACATCTTTACTGCTAACAACATTTACCTTTCTCCTCTTTTTCCAGTTCTCCCCGAAGATCCTCTGAAAGGAGGAGGAACACAAACAGCAAGAATGAATGTTCTAGTTGAGTTAACAAGACATCATTCATTCAAGCAATATTTTATTAAAGCAACTATAAAACCAGGCACTGGGCTAGGGAGGGCTGGGAAGGAAGGAAGAAAACAAGCATTTATAGACTTCTACTATATGCCAGGCACTATGCTAAGCATTTTACTTGGGAGGTGGGTTATATTATTAACCCCATTTTACAAACAGGAATTAAGTGACTTGCCCATAGTCAATGGAGCTAATAAAAATCTGAATCCACATTTGAACTCAGGTCTTCCTGTCTCTAAGCCCAGTGCTCTATCTACTTTGTAACCTATCTGCAGGTCTCTCAAGGAGTTTCAAATGCCACCTGGCTCCCCATTCTGCCTTATTCCAGTGCCTGCAACCCACTCAAAGTCTTCCCTAAAAGTCTTCCCTGCATACATATTCTTTCTCCAGAATAAAAAATGGAACAGCCTCTGACAAGACAGATAAGACACCCTTATAGGATGACCCTGTTGCTGCTTATACCTTCCCCTTTTTGCACTGCCCTTTCACCTTTCCCCCACCAGCTCCACTAGGATAAGATATTCAGAACCACAGTAGGCATTTAATGAATGTTTATGGATTAATCAGCTGATAAAGCTGGACCTATAGTGTCTGTTGCCCCTCCTGCGTGAACTTCATTAGACATATTTTAGCTTTTGCTCTCCTATACACAGTATCTGTATTCAAACCCTCCCAGCTACCCATCCCCAACAAAACCCATCACCTTTGAACTTCTTTAGCAGTCCCTTCAAAACAAAGGTCTTGAGTGAAATATTCCAAACTTTACTCTTCATTTCAGAAGAGACTGAGGCTGGTTTGGGGCCAGGCACATTGTCACACCTTGGAGGAAAGAATAGAGAGGATGTTATTGGCACCAACTACCTCCCTTTCCCTGGTCTTTTTTCCCTTTTGGTCTCTGGGAAATGGAGCCATGAGACTACCTGGTAATGAGAAAGGGGATACCACAGAATGTCCTAGCATGGTTCTTGCCTTTTAGTCTGCAGGAACCTCTAAGATGGACTCTCTATCCCTCCCTGACTTGATGTCCACTTCTTGTAAACAGGGTTTAATGTGGGCCCCACCTCCAGGAAGCCTTGACTAAGTAGCCCTTCTTGGTTCCATTCCTTCCACTTAACACAGGCAACCTGAGGAGGACTCCCTGGGGAACCACAGAGCGTATGCCTGGAGTCCTAGGAGGGGAGGGAACCTACACTGTTAAGAGCTTGTTGGTAGAGAAGAGAACTATGGCTCCAGAACCCTCTGCAACCATGGCTTGGCATCAACTTTCCTTGGGGGAGGTCATCTGGTTTTTCCTCCCCGCAATGGTGAATATGAAAAGAATGGACAATCAGAGAAGGGTTTTTAAAAATGCAAAGAGTCATAGTTTACTTACCTGCCTAATGTGTTCTTGAACTCCTAAACAGAAATAATGAAGAAAATAATCAACATTGAACATGCCTCATTCTCCAGATAAAGAAAGAAAAATCAGGTTGGGCTTCAAACAAAGAAACCATGGTCACTTCCCCTTTCTCTCTGATTTTCTAAGACTTGAAAACCATCTCCTTAGGAGATCTCTTTTTCCCCTACTTTGTAGAGAAAAGTTTTCTCTCCCAGGTTTCTGGGCCCTAATATAGGCCAAATTTGTTGCCCTGGGATCTCCCCCTCTTCACGAGGTGACATTTCCTTCCATTCCTATCTGAATTCTACTTACTCTTTAAAGCCCAATTCAAGCCCTACCTCCTGTATGATGTTTCCCATGAATACCTTTCCTCCTCTGAATTCCTATATAACTTTTTATCACACATTTGGCACTTAGGTCCCCACTGCCTTGTATCACTATCTTATTTTGTTTTAATGTTTATGCTTTCTAGCCCCAACTACGGTGTATAAACAACTTCAGTCCTGTACCATGTCTTAAACATCTCTATTTCTGTATCACTACAAGAAACCTTTGCTGAACCCCCTTCATGCTAGTTCCTTTGCTCTACTGATTACCTCCAATTTATCCTGTATATATGTCTTGTTTGCACACTGTATACGCTCCTTGAGAGCAGGGACAGTTCTTTTGCCTTGCTTTGTATTCTCAGCCTTTATTGCTGTGCCTGGCACACAGCAGAAGCTTAATAAATGCTAGCACAGAGCTTTGTATATAACAAATTCTCAATCAATTGAATAGAGACTATAGGAAGCTACAGGAAGAACATGTAGCCTTCCAACTTTCCAACAACCCCAGCCACAAATTCCTTACTCTTTAATGCTATTTGTTACACACATGGTTAGAGAATGGGGGTTTTTTTTGGTGGGGGGATGGGGGAGGTAGGATGAGATTACAAGAAACCTATGATGTTTCTTAAACAAGACCAAAGAGACAAAAGGGTACCATGATAAGAGTTCAGGATTTAGAATCAGAGAACTAAGGTTTTAATCTTGGTCCTGATACTTGTTACCTGTATGACTTTGGTAAGTCATTTCTCTTCTTAGGGCCTCAGTTTCTTCATCTGTAAAATAGGGACCCCTGAGTTCCCTTCTAGCTCAAATCTATGAAACATCTCTCTTAGCTAGAGAATACAACCAAGTCTCTATAACTGATGATCTTGGAGAAAAGAACAATCAGCCATCTGTGCTAGATGGTTTAATCAACCAACATATAATAATGGAGCATTGTTGTTAGTACAGTGCTAGGTGCTAATATAAAATGAAATTAAAAAGCACAATAGTCTCTGCCCTCAAGGAGCTTACAAAAGACTGGGGAAACAACTCTCACTCCTAAAGATCTCTAAGTCTCACTTTCCTTAAAAATAGGTAGGTTGAAACGGACCGAGGTCATACAGCTAGACTCAGAGTGGAGACTTAAGCCCAGATTTTCTGAATCCAAGTCCATGAAACAAAAGCAAAGGAGACAGTATGCAACTAAGTGCTAAATTAAGGAAAGGAAACCATTTAGAAATTCTGCTATGTTGGTGGACTTGATTTCTCCTCGTCCCTTCCAACTCCAGGATTCTATGATCTTCATAAAATCACAGAATCAGATTCTAATGTCCTATTACTCTAATATCACCTTTCTTATTACTCTATCCCACCCAAAAGAAGCCTTGACGATAAGATAAACTTAGAGTCTTGCACTGGTATTTTCCCGCTATTATTCACTCTTAAACAATCTAATGGTTGAAATTCTGAGCAAGTCAGGCCCAGCTCACCTGCAGGAAGTCCAGGTCAGGTTTGTGGGATGTCTCTTCCATCTCGGTGGTGAGTTTGGACAGCAGGGAGATCTCACTGCCAAGCTGGTTCAGGTTCTCAGTTTGCCTTTGAGTCACCTCCCTGGCCAGCTCTTCCAGCCGCCCCACCAGCCTGCTTTCCTGCTCCATCAGGAAGGCCCTCAGTGCTTGGAACTCAGCCCCCACCTTCTCCCGCTCCACGGTCACTTGCTTCTGCCCAAGGAGAAAGGGAGTGGGAATAAGTAAGAGAAATGGATCTCTTAACACTGAGATGACACTGTACAGCACATAAAGGAAGAACACACACTCTCAGCTCTCAACTACATATCAGAATAGGTACACATACACACCAGGCTACATACAGTATATATATAGTTACATATACTATATGAAACTCTATAGAGTTAGAGACATCCCACATCATATAACTGAACTTGATCTTCTCCTGTTTACTTTCAGATACACATTCTCATTTATTATACAAACATATTCTTTCCCCTTGGTTACCAATTCCTTCCTACACACATACCATTTTATGTGAGATTAAACTGTATATTCAAAGAATCATATTCTAATGATCTTTTACTCTATCATTCTAACAGTCTTTCTTATTCAGCCTGTCAGTTTCAAAAAAACAAGAACAAAACTTATACATCTATAATGGGGTCAGGAAACCCGGATTTCAGCAAGCTGATAACTCTCAGTGTGTTGTGTTGGGCAGCAGATGCAAGGCCCTCTGGCCAGGACATAATATACCAAGGGTCTGTGGCCTGACACTGCGAAAAAGAGAAGAAAATCCTTGGGTTTTCCCAGGCTTCTTCTTCCTCCTCCCAGGTTCCTTGTTTCTTCCCCATAACAAAATAACCCTCTGTCCTCATGGAAATAAAGCTTTGTTCAGACAGCCTGTTGTCTATTACACAAGCATACTGGGAAATGTACCCAGACTTACTATTGTCCAACTCCTCAAGCCATATCTAAATGAGTATGGTTCTTTAAAGTGATCATCTACCCTTTGGAATTACATGCTTACTCCAACTATGCTACTATTATTCAAAATCTTTTTTCCGGACTCCTCTTCTAGAGCTGCTTGTCTTTAGAAGCAAGTTTAGAAAACATACTAAAAAAAATCCAGTCTATTTTTTTGTTAGATGTATCTAGAGCTGATGTATCTAACTCCCATGCAGGTACTGCAAAACTCATCCACAGAACCAGATTAAAACATAATTGGGAAATGTTTAACAAAATAAATAAAAATATAGCATAGCATAAATAATGTCAATTTGTGGTTTTCTATGTCAATATGACCTGTTTCTATTTGAGTTTGCATGGTGGATAGAGTGCAAACCACTCCAGTATCTTTACCAAGAAAATGATTATAGGGTCATGAAACACAACTGAAAAACAACTAAACAACATTCACTGGTTTATAGGCAGCTAGTTGGTACAGTGGATAGAGTGCCAGGCTTGAAGTCAGGAAGTCATGCTCATGAGTTCAAACCTGCAGGGGAGCTAGGTAGTGCAGTGGATAGAGCTCTGGCCTTGGAGTCAAGAGGACCTGAGTTCAAATCTAGCCTCAGATACATAACACTCACTAGCTGTGTGACCCTGGGCAAGTCACTTAACCCCAACTGCCTCACAAAAAAAAAAAGGCAAAAAAGAGAGAGAAGAGTTCAAACCTGGCCTCAAATACTTCTCAGCTGTGTGACCTTGGGCAAGTGAAAAAACCCTGTTTGCCTTAGTTTCCTCCTCCATAAAATGAGCTAGAAAAGCCAAAAAAAAACAAAGAATTGGAAATGACCCCTCCCCCCAAAAAAACTGAGCAACAACAAAAATAACAAATCTAGGAAGGCAATGTAGTCAGGTCTCTAGAGTCAGGAGACCTGGGCTTGAATCTCATTTCTAATTTGGGCACAATTCCTCAGAGCCCCAGTTTCCTTGTGCAATCCCTACCTACCTCTACCTACCAGGATTGTTGTGAGGAAAGCATTTAATCTAATGCACAGGATTGTAGTGAACAAAAAAGGCTTCACAAACCTTAAAGCACTATATAAATTATTCTCTTTTGTAATAATAGCAACTTATATTTACATATTATTTTATAGTTATAATCATACAGTGCCTTCACACAAAGAATCTCTTCTTAATCCTCTCTAGAACCCAATGCAATAGGACAGGTAGGTATTTTCCCCATTTAACAGATGAGGAAGCTTAGACTCAGAGACCCACCAACCATCTTACCCAAAGTTATATAGCTAGGACTCAAATGAAATGGGCTGACTCTTTCTATTAGACCAAGGTGACAAAAAAAATGTCATCCAATTTGGTCACTTACCTTACTGACAGGAATTGTCCATGATGATCTTTGGCTGTTTCCAAAAATCAAACCCAAATTAAAATTAGGAAGATTTGCAACTACTAAAAATATCCTATAACCTGTAGTATATTCTTCTACACAATTTCCAAAAGAGGAGTTTTGGAACAATGCAAGTATCATTAGAATAAATTGTATGCTCTCCCAAAGCGACAACTTCGAAGAAAGCAGCACTCACTTGAGTATAGACTAAGGTAATTTTTTTTTTAAATCAATCGTTAAGAAGCAGCTGGGTGACGCAGTGGATAGAGCACTGGCCCTGGAGTCAGGAGGATCTGAATTCAAATTCGACCTCAGACACATGATATTCAATAGCTGTGTGACCCTGGGCACAAGTCACTTAACCCCAATTTCCATGCCCCCCCAAAAAAAATCAGTCATTATCTCCATATGCTCATACATTTACTACCTTTTCTAAACAAACAATCTTGCGTGCCCTCTCTGTTCTATTCAGTTACCTAAAGACCCATAGGTTCTTATTCATTCATCCACTCACCAAGTCAACAAGCATTTATTAAAAGTCTACCACGTATCAGGCACTGTACTAGGTGTGGGATATCCTGACAGAAAAGCAAAACCATCCCTTCCCTCAAGGAACTTACTTTCTCTAGGTGGGGGGGAGGAACAACTCCTATGAGTAAATAAAGGACAAGGCTGGGAAGGGGAGGGGAGGGGGAGAGGCGCTGGTATGGGGAGGTGGGGAGATCAGAAAAGGTCTTGGATGAGAAGACTCTCTTAACATTCCACTCTTCCATATTTTGGAATGGGCCTGTTCCAATTTTCTTACTCATATTTGTCCCTCTCTCCAAAGAAGGGAAGAAAGAAGTGCTCCTCGATGTTTGCCAGATTGGTTGATCTGCATGAAGGAGAGACTGGGGGGGCCTTGTGTAGATAAACTAAGGGGATTATCTATTATCACTCTACCTTAGTACCAAATGAAAAACAGGTATATGTAGCCTCTGAATGACTGACTAATTGAAACTACTTCCAACCTAGGGTAGATGGAGTATACGTGTTTAACTGTCAAAAATGCCAGGAAGTGATAAAGAGGAATTTGGGGTATGGGTCAGACAGGCAGGGTCCTACAGAGTTAAGCATATTAACATCCTCTGCCTATGTCAAATTCCTCGCTTAAGATTTTATCTTATTTTAATTTTCTCCTTAATCCCCCCTAAAACCTTTTCAAGTCTACTTCCTATTAACTGCATTAATGGAAGAACTGACTTAACCAAAGCCCTGTAGCTGGCAGCTAGGTGGCACAGCGGATAAAGAGCAGGGCCTGCAGTTAGGAGGACCTGAATTCAAATCCAACCTGCTAGCTGTATGACCCTGAATAAGTCACTTAACCTTGCTTGCCTCAGTTACCTCATCTGTAAATGATCTGGAGAAGGAAATAGCAAACCAATATCAGTATCTTTTCCAAGAAAACCTCAAATGGGGTCATGAATAGTTGGACACGACTGAAAAATGATTAAACAAAAAAGCCACATAGCTAACTAGTTCTAGCATTACAGATGGGGGAGGTGGAGGAGAGACTGTTGAAAAAAAGTTGTATATAGCATTCAACCCAAGATAAAACAAACAGCCAGAATCCTTCAGAATGAGATTCTGCAAAGACAGGTATATGAAGCATAATATTTTACAGACAGAAGGAAACTTAGATCATCCCTCAACTAACTAGAACTATTAGAATGTCATAAGGAACACTTTCAGTATTTTAGAAGGTGAGTGACTATTGACGAGTCACTCCAAGTGCCCTAAAACAATTTTATGTCCTTAAGTTACACAGGAATTATAGGATTTATTGGAGGGAGAGTTTACACCAGGAGTTTCCCCACCTTACTGAAATCACAGCAATCACAAACCAAAGATAGGAGAAGGGAGTGTTTTTGACCTGATAAAAACACATATACTTCTCCAGCAGCAAAAGCTTGAAAGTTATTAGGGTTGGGTATCACAGATCAGCAGAAAGACCATGAGCAGAGGGACTCCCATATTCTCTTTTCTGGAATCCTAGAAGTCCAAAAGTAAAAAGTGGCCTGTGTTCTCAGAAGTCTTTGACTTCCTGTTCTACTCAATCTCCCCATTACTGGTTTATGTGCCTGCCTCTGGTAGTAGAGAACAGAGAGAAAGAGAGAGAGACAGAGAGAGAGAGAGAGAGAGAGAGAGAGAGAGAGAGAGAGAGAGAGAGAGCAAGAGCACCTCATATGTGCATGGACCCATATCCATTTCAGACTTCTCCCAGACACACATACAATACACACACACACACACACACACACACACACACACACACACACACACACACACTCTCCTCTCTCCTACACAAACTCTAACCCTTTAATATGAATTCTTATGTATAGATATATACCTCCCTCTCCCTCCATCCTTCAAGCCTATACAGGATGTTCTAAGAGTCTTCATGGAGTTTTAAGCTTTACTAGTTTAAAACTGCACCAAGACTTTGGGGACACCCTGCATATACATTTCTGCCTCTTTCACCCAGAATTGTACCTGTTCTTACTCCACATACACCCACTTGGAAGTGGTGCAGCAGTCAAATTGGGTACCCAAACTCTGGTGTTCAATATAAGGTACCTCCCTAGCCTCCACCTCCTCACCAGCAGCTCCCGGCTCTCCTTCTCCTCCATGGACTTAAAATCTTCAAACTCCTCCAATTCCTTCTTCAGGGCACCTAGCCGGGACTCCAACATCTCCTGGATAGGAGGAAGAACAAGTGAATTCACTCACTTTAGCTGGGAGAGAAGGAAATTTAGAACATCTCACCTTTTCCACCTCTTTGCTCTAGGAAATAGGGCTAATTCTGTTCATTGAAGAAAAAGCAAAAATAACTGGAGGGTTATGTGAGAACAACGACCCATAGCTATGATAAGATTTGAACCATGGCACAGGGTCTTCCTACCCAAAAACATCTCCCCCACAGGCCTACAACAACCTCACCCTCACCAGCCTTCCCCTATTCTACCTGAGCAAACATTCAGAATCACAGAACTTGTGGTTGGGAGGGACCTCAGTAGCCACCTAACGCAATTCATACCAGAAATGAAAAACCACTATAGCATACCTGACCATTGGCTCAATCAAATGACTGAGCAGCTAAGTGGCAAATCGAAGATCAGAGTTCAAAATCTGACCTTTAGACACTTACTGGCTGAGTGACCCTGATCAAGTCCCTTAACCTGTTTGCCTCAGTTTTGTCAACTATAAAATGGGGAAAGTAACAGCAATTACCTGACAAGGTTGTTGTGAGGATCAAACAAGACAATATTTGTAAAGCATCTGGAATAATTTCCTTCCCTGATCATCCAGTTTGAAGAATTCCAATTAGGTGGAACCCACCATCCCTCAAGGTTGTCTATTCTATATGTGGGCAGCTTAATTGTTAAGAAGGTTTTCTTGATTTCAAGCCTCTATTTGCCTCTGTAACTTTCACTTAGTGTTGTCTCCAAAAGACCACAGCTAAAATACACAAGCTTCCAGCAATGTGAGGGAATGAATGGGAGTTGGGGGGAGGGCAGAGAAAGAGCTAACCTTCTTTTAAAGCATGAGCATAGATTAGGAAGCATGACACAAGAACTAGTGAAATCAATTGTGGGAGGTGGGTAGAGTATTTTGCTCCAGGCTAAGGCTTGGCTGGAAAGGCCCAATCAGAATATGGGGGTGGGAGCAACAGTGATGAATTTATATAGCACTTTTAAAAAGTAATGGAACTGACATACATTTCATTAGAGGTCCTTAACCTTTTTCTTTTGCTGTCCTGGACTCTTTTGGCAGTCCGGTAAATGAGACCCTTTCTTATAATGTTTTTAAATGAAAGGAAATCAATTATATGGAAATAATTACAAAAAAAGTTAATAAGTTCACAGACCCCTCAGAACCTCACAATAATCCTCTGAGCTCTCACCCATAGGTAATAATCTCTTTCTACTAAGGAGGAAACAGACTCATAGTAGCAACTTGCCACTATATCAATACTCAGCTGGTACTAGGGGTAGGCTTCTGAACTCGGCTTCTGAACTCAGCTTCTTCCCTGATTACCAGTCCAATTATTTAGCCACTACACCACAATGCTTCTAAAATAATAACAGTTGTTATTGAAGATGTACAAAGTACTCACTTCACAGGAGCCCAGTGAGGTTGGTTAGAGCAAATATTATTACTTTTACATATGAAGAAGCAGGGAGACTGGTCTCACATCCACCCAGCTCTGTTCATGAAAAGGGAGGGACAGGCCTCCACACCAATGAGGAGGATTTAGGTGGGCACTACCCCTCAATAAGTGTTGAAGAAGGCAAGCTTTCCTCTAACAGGTGACTCCTCCGACTTGTCTAGGAAGCTTGCCACCCATCTGTGGAAGGAAAGCTAGCTTGTGGCATCTAGTGGCTGGAGGAGAGGTCTCCAAATTATTCCCAGTCCTAGCATATTCCAAGGACCCCCTCATAACCAAGGGAGGAAGAAGAAGGAACGAATGTATCTAACTGAGGCTGTTAACAGGTAATCACTAAAAGGAAGGGGTGACAAACAACAGCACGAATGGCTCCACGGGTGACGGAGCATTTACCAGGAGGTGTGTGGACCGGCCTGCATTTCTGTGCTCCTCACCTCGCCCAACAGGGGCCTGATCCTACCTCAGCCCTGGGTATGGCTCTTATGAGCTCTGCCAGCTTAGAGAAGATTGCTCCACATCTCTCCCCAAGCCTGCGCCACCCAGGGCTGGGGCATCTTGGCTAAGTCCACCTCTCTTTAAACAGGAAGATGACACACTGGGGATGAAGGAGGAGGAAGTGGATGAACTATGGGGGGCTCGTCTTGGGAGTCCTACTGCCACAGCAGGGGGGCCCACCAAGGGGCATCCCGAGCATAATCAGTGGGCAAGCATTCATTAAGCACCTCCTATATGCTAAGCCCTGAGGATATAAAGAAGGACAGAAGACAGTTCCTGCTCTCAAGGAAACAGCAATCTAATAGGGAAGAGAACATGCAAACAACTAGGCAAAACCCGCGTAGGATTGTCAGGGGGCGAGAGTAGGGGTACTACTCCAAGACTCAGGAGGAGACGGAGAAGGAGAGGAAAGCGAGGAGAGGGAAGACAAGAGTGGAGGTCGATGAAGGGTGAAGGGCCGGAACAAAGACGAGAAGAGGGGCGAGGGGCGAGCGGCGAGGGGGGTGGCCGCGGAGCCCGGGAGCCCGAGCAGCAGAAAGCCTACAGCCGCCGCGAGGAGTCGCTCAATGCCAAGGCTAGGGCGCACACAGCGGGGTCTTCCCTCACCTTGGCCTCCTGCACCGCCTCGTCCAGCGGCAGCACGGCGTGGGCGCGGTGCTCCCGGGCGCGGTCGCACACCACGCAGATGGCCCGCCCGTCATCCTGGCAGTAGAGCTTCAGAGGCTCCCCGTGCTGGACGCAGCCGGACACCAGGCTCCCCGCGCCCTCCCCGTCCCCGTCCCCGGACGGGGAGAGGCTGTAGCGGCGGAGCAGACTGGCCACCCCGGCCAGCTGGCGATTGGGGCGGAGCTGGCTGGGCCGGGCGGGCTCCCGGCACTGAGGGCAGGGCAGGGCGCGGGGGGCAGGCGACACCGGGATCCCCGGGCGCTCCCAGCAGCGGGCGATGCAGGAGCGACAGAAGCTGTGGCCGCACTCGATGGACACGGGGTCCTGGAAGAGCTCCAGGCAGATGGAGCACGTCGCTTCCCCGTGCAGCTCGGCCGCCAGGGCCAGAGCCTCCGCGCCGGCACTAGGGCCGGACCTCGGCCCCACCGCAGCCATCGGGTTCGGCGGCTCTAACTGCCGCCGCCGCCGCCGCCGCCTCCGCTGCAACACCCCCAGTTCTGGGATGGAACGTTCAGCCAGCCGCCTCTGGGAGAGGGCCCGGGGACTGACTGAGGGGGTGGGCTCTGAGGGAGGGGCGTGGCCGGAGGCTGGGCCCAAGGGGGCGTGGCGCGGGGGGGGGGAACAAGACCAAGGGTCCCTGGAGGCAGGAACGCGCTGAAGTTGTCGCCTCGCCTGCTGATGGCGACTAGTCTTGGGCAGTAGAACCCGGGTACCCCCGTTCTGCAGTGTGCTAAGACAAGCCAATTCTACCCCCAAGCCCCTCCCCCTCAGCCGAAAAAGTGAAGCCACTGACGCTGTAATTACTCCCCTCCCCTCTCCGCCCCTCGCCAGCCTTGCCCATACACAGGCTCTTTCTACAAATTGGGCAGAGAGTGTGAGAGCCTTGTCATCTGTCACTACCCGTCTCCAAGTCTCTGGATCAATTTCTGATTCTTTCTCTCTGTGTCTCTGTCTCAATCAATTAATAATAAACATTTATTAAGCGTCCACTACATGCCAGTCACTGTGTTAAGCATTTCAGATACAAAAAGAGGCAAAAGACGGTACCTGCCCTCAAGGAGCTTACAGTCTAACAGGGGAGACAACATGCAAACAAAATATATACAAAACAAGCCATATACTGGATGAACAGGAAATAATTAACGGAAGGAAGGCACTAGAATTAAAAGAAGTTGAGGAAGGTTTCCAATAAGAGATAGGATTTTAGTTGAGACATAAGTAAGCCATCGGTGTCCGTTTCTCTCCTCCCCTCCCTTTCACATCCATTCCCTCTTCTTCCCCTCCACTTCTTACAACTCCCTTCCTCCTTCCCCCTCCCCATTTTTCCTCGCTATCCCAATTTGACCTGCTCAGCTGGAAGAAACAGACCTGAGCAGATGGAAAAGCAAAGTCCAGGATCTGATGTCTTTCACTCCCTCTGTGAGGAGGAGAGACTCCTGATAAGCACCCTGACCCATTCCTGCCTTCCTCGTGTAACCAACCGCAGCGTCAGCCCTGGCTCCATACCCATAATTTGGCCTAACAGGGCCAGGCCGTGAGCCTGGCAATCTGAGGTGTTGAGTTTCCCGACACCTTGTCCAGGCTCCTCTACAGTACTAAATATAGGACCCCTGACTCAAATCCCTAGCAACCCGCTAAATGTCTTGCTTTAAATAGATAATTTGTAATAACCAAATTCAATCCTGGAGAAGAGTTGAAGAAACATACTTACCTCCCTTCTTTACAGAGATTGTGAAATAGATCATCAGATCAACCATGTATGTTGGCTGGTTGGCTTTGCAGAATTGCTTTTCAATATATTTTTAAACTTTGTTACAATGTAAGGCTCAATGGATAAGGGCAGTATATACTCAGAAATATAGGTAATGTAAAAATAAAGAAAAATATTTTTAAAACACAAAAAATAGATAATGTGGTTTAAATATATTTCCCATTCTTCTTTGTTTCTCTTTCCTTTTCATTTTTGTATTTATCTGATCCATATAGTCTGCAAAGCCAACTCCCAGTCCATTCACTAGATATATGTATATAAATGTTTCAAGTTTTTAGTTACTGGTAATTCTTTCTTTCCTTTTTCCCCATGTTTGGATGTTTCTCTTCCTGTCTTTGTTTGACTTAATTCTCAGCATATTTTGTGGTTGTCACTGCCTCTTATGTGTCTGCGCCTTTCTCTCCCCATCCCTCATCTCAATTTCAACCTTTTTTTTTTCTTTCTGTATTTCTGGTACATTGGCTTTCTTCTTGCTATTACTGGAACAGTACACTTTATGTTCCTACTCTGTCCCTTTAGACTGGTCATCCCCCATGCCTGGAATGTTCTCTCTCCTCACCTCTGCCTTCTTTAAAAACTCAGCTCAAAACCCAACATTTTTTTTTAAATTCTGGGTCACACAGCAGAGTCTAAGTCTGAAACTGAACTCAGGTCATCCTGACTCTAGGGCCTGTGTTCTATCCATTTTGCCAACTAGCTACTCCTAAAGCCCACCTTCTATAGAAGCATCTCCTGGTCACTACCTACTAGCATATTGCTAATTGCCTTCCATCTGAGATGACCTTCTATTTACATTGTGTAATATATATAAAATACACATTTATTTATACATGTATATAAATGTATTTGTATATGCAAATGTGTACATATACTACATATGTGTATATATAGAAACAATATATATACATATATATAGTATAACAATTTTTGTATGTTATTTTCCCTGTTAGAGTGTGAGCTCCTTATGTTTTCTCCCTATGTTTTCTCCTTTATTTGTATTTCCAGCACTAAACACAGGGTCTGACACACAGCCAATGCTTATTGACTTAAATTCCTTATGTCTGGGATTGTCCCAGAAGAAACAGTCTCTTCTATCCTCTTCCAGTCTCTGCTGCATAACAAAGCAAAAGTCTCATTCTCAAGGCCTTCTAGGAAGTCCTCATTAGCTTTGGTCCCACTGTCTCCTTTTCTTTTTATGAGTTAAGTAGGAGCTGCTTTCAGCCATCAGCTTACTGGTCAACTTAAATAACAAATGTCGTAACCTCTCCAAACCAAAGCATAGTTTAAGAACTTCCACTAATGTGTTTATTTCTACTAGTCAGTCATAACATTTAGTTCTAAGCAAAGTAAAGGCATTTTAATCAAATTCCATAGTAAAAAAAGTAAAAGCAGAATATCCTTCCTCTTTTTTTTTAGGCAATTGGGGTTAAGTGACTTGCCCAGGATCACACAGCTAGTAAGTGTCAAGTGTTTGGTTTAAGGCTGGATTTGAACTCAGGTCCTCCAGACTTCAGGGCCCACTGCACCATCTAGTTGCCCCTGAGCTCATTTTCTAAAGAATATGCTCACTCTTAGTTGAAAGAGTATATACTTATAGGAATCACATATAGGGCATAAATACATACAGATGTGAGGCTTTTGCACCCTTATGGATACATGTACACAAAGAAAACATCTATGACCAAGGTACATGCATGAAGGGACTGACCATGCTTCCAACACTACAAAGGTACTAGTGTCTTTTGCCAGTGTCATTATTCTGCTTTCTGAGGGGCTTGCTGATGAGGTAAGAATCACATCTCCAATCTAATTGGCTTTCAGCTATCAAGTTATAACGTTGGAGTGCTGTATTTAGCAAACTGTCCCTTCCCCCTTTTCCCCCAAACCTTGGCCCCCCCTCCAGGGGAAAACAGCTGCTCTGTTAGCCAGATCTTTCAGTCTCTCACTGAACCTCAGTTATAGTCAGTTGAGCTACCCTGAGCTACCCTGTTCACCATCCAGTGGTAGATGCTATGGTTAGCAAGCCTCTCCCTAAAAAGATCTTCTAGCCAGCTTTTTCAGGTAATGATTATGAAGCTCTTTCCTTAAGTCAGGCGAGAAAGTGGTCTATATGTAGGCTAAGATAATTTCTCCTTCTGTTTCTTCTCACTCCTTTAACTCTCATTTTCACTGTGGTCAGAAATCCAGTTTGGTTCTTGGGTCATATTGTGCCTGGCTGGAATGAAAATAATGAGGATACGGTTTCCAAACTTCCCCCCTTCATGCTTTTCTGTTCTATCGAAATCACAGTGGCTGTGATTTGCTGAAGGTGGCTGGAAAAAAAAAAAACAACCTCGTGACTTTTGTCCCACTGACCCCCAGCAAAATCACAGTCTGAATTCTTCTGCTTTCACTCCCTATATGCAAGGAAATGGATCAGAATTCTCCTTCACCTCTTCTGGGCTGGTAAGAGAAGGATTTTGTCACCCTCAGTAAGACTGATAGGCTGTGATTGGGAAACAGACTCATCTCTGAACCCAAAAGAGGTAGGACTCCCTCCATAAGTCTGTGGGTAATAGGATTCTCCCCTTCGGCAGAGGAGGGAGCTTCAGCTGCCTGAACCACTGGGCACTCTCTTCAGTGCGTTAATATTCTAGAAATGTGCCCTGAGGGAAATTGTATGGACCTTCAGAGTAGAAGGGTAATAGTGCTATCCTGTCCTGACAGCTGTGTATGGACTTATTCTCACCACCTACCCTTCCCCCTCCCAAAAAAAAATCAACAAATATTTATTAGTACCAATTATGTGCAGAACTTCCACAGAAGTTGCTCAAATGCCTCATTCAGTTGCCCACCCTGGGTTCTCAAAGAACATTCAAAGCAGAGCCCAAGCTCTGGTAGAAAAGACTTCAATTAAAACTGGTAACAAATATGTCTATTGTCTGAGACTACACTAAGTATGAAGAGTATATCATCCCTACAAGACTAGTCACTAACTAAAGATTTTTTTGGTCACAGGGACCATGAAATTTTTAAAAATGCAAAATGACTATCATTCCTATGTAGCTCCCCCTCTCCTACAGGAATGGTACTAGAATGGTAAAAAGTTAAGAGAGAAAGGAAGGAAACCAGTATTTATTTTAAGTGCCTACTATGTGCTAGGCACTGTGCTTTACAAATATTATCTCATCTGATTTTCACAACAACCCTGTTAGATGCTATTATTCCCATTTTATAGTTGAGGAAACTAAGGCAGACAGAAGTTATGTGATTTGCTTAGAGTCACAGAGTTAACAAATGTCTGAGGCCAGAACTTGAACTCAGGTTTTCCTGACTCCAGGCCCAGGGCTCTATCATCTAGGCCACCTCATTGTGAAAGGTAAAGGATGCTAAGGATCACACACTTCTGTTGTGATTGACAAATATTTATTTATCTGTTGGCAACTTAAAGGCAATGAATTTGCCTTTCCTGGTGGGTTATAGAGCACAACCAGTATTCATTTTCTGCAGCTAATACAACACATGGAATTTTGGAGAGTTACCTCCAATTTACGAGCGACAGAGAGACCATGAGTAACTATGTATTAATGACATTTGTCATCAGAAATTTGTCAGATGTACTAAAGGTGCACAGTCTGAGGAGTGAGGTGAACCAATGACTCAGTAAAGGCTGAGGCTGGCCCTTGAATTCTTTTCTGCCTTTGGGAGAAGACGATCTCTTGCTCTCTTCCTTAGAAGCTTTTGAGTGAGGAGGATTACAGGATGGGAGAAAAGCAGCAGGCTCTTCTACCTGGCCAACTTGAGTC